GCCCAGGTCGCTGGAGTTCGGCAGCGGCGGGTCTCTGTGGAGTGGAGCAGTCATGCACCTACCTGCCTCCTCTGTGGAGCCAAGGGGTGTGCTCATTCAGGTGGCCCCGTCCCCCAGCCCAGCACAGCTGGGATGCAGTGGGGGGATGGGATCAACCTCACATCAGTGGGACAAGACAGACGAGATGCCTCAGCCTGAGGTCTGCCCATTAGATTGCCCCTGGCAGGGGACCCAGCTGGACTGGGGGGGTGAAAGTTGTGGGGGGACCCTGGCTGGGCTGTGATGACAAGGGAGGCCATGGCAGAGACTCTGTACTTTCAAAGAAGGCTCAGAGGTGGTGGGGGAGGCCCTAAGCATGGAGGAGCTGGTGGACTTGGGAGTGGTGTAGGGAGGAGGGCCTGGCCACTGGACACAGAACAGCAGGAGCAAGGGTGGGAAGGTCAGATGACCCGGAGAGAGCCTGCTGAGTGCTTCCTGGTTGCTCTCAGGAAGGGGACAACAGACCCAGCTCTAGGACTTGGGGCAGGAGGATTCATGGAGAGGGTGAGCTGTTAGCATAGGTAGGAGTTGGCCTCCAGCCTGGGGTTACCACCTAGAAGCCGTCTCCCTGCCACCCTACCCATCTGTCCACCCACTTACCTTCCACCCACCAATCTGCTTGTCCATCCATCTATGTGTCCACCAGTCTGTCCATCCATTCATCCATCTATGCATGTCAGCCCATCCCCCATTAACCATCTTCCTACACACCCAGTTATCTACCTCTGTCCATCCATCCGCCAACTTACCCAGCCATCTATTCATTCCTTCTTCTACCCACCTGCCCACCCACCCACCTGTTCACCTATCTACCCTATCCTCCCCCTCCCCCCTACACGCTCATCCAGGTGACAGGCATGGCTGCGCTGCCATCACATGCTGGGCATGGTGGTGAGTACCAGGACATGGCAGGAGACAGAAGCCTCCCTGCCTGATCCTTGGAGGCTCCCATGTCATCCATGGGGACAGGTTGGGAACAGATAGATGATGAGCCAAGTGGAGCAATGAGCTGGTCAAGAAATCCAGAAGGTGGGTCAGCCAACAGACAGTGGCCTGGGTCTCTTGCACTGTGACCTGCAGATTGGGGCTTCTTTCCTGTGGGGTGGCTAGAGGTTTAGGGTAGTCCACACCCTGCGTTGGGCCAGCACTGAAGAGCCACCATCCTGTTCTCCCCGCCGCTGAGCTTCGTGTCCATCCTTCCAACGGATGGTCTCAGCTCTCTGAGCCTCGGATTCCCTATCTGCATCTCAGTGACAACCTTGGGGCCCCAGCCATCTGGGCTGTGGAGAGGCGGGTCAGTTCCCGTGTGCCGGGGCTGGGCCTGTGTCCTGCCCATTGTTCACTGTGTGGTGTTAGGAAAATACCCGAACCTCTCTGTGCCTCAGCTTCCCCACCTATAAAATGGGGGTGAAGCAATGCCTCTTTTCAAGGCTACTGGCTGTGAGGTGAGCGGGGAGCCAGGTCTGCACTGCCCTGCGTGGAGTGGATACTCACTCAGTTGGTGGGGGCTTTTCTGATATGGACAGCCCAACATTGTGGCTGGCCATGAGCCAGGGAGAGAGGGTACAGTGGATGCATAGAGCTTCTTGCTACTGGCCCGGAGGCAGGGCCCGCGCACCCCTTCCCTTCTGGACCTCTTTCCGGATTTAGAATCTGCTGCCCTTGAGAAGTGGTCACAGTCGGGCAAGTCAGGGTTGGGGGTCAGGCACTGCCCACGGGTCCTCCCATCCATTAGCAGCAGCGAGAGCCTCACATAACCCCATCCCAGTGTGCTGTGGGCCCCCTGTCTTTCACAGCGTCACATGGAGCTGTGTGGATGTGCCAGCCCTGGGTGTGGGCAGGTTGCTTGATTACCTCCTGCTGGGCACTTCCAGATGCCTCCTCCCCTCTCGCCCTGTCTCCGACCTTTGGGCAGAGTCAGGCTGGAGCCGCGGACATGCGCAGGGATTGGCTTTGGGTGGTGATTCCTGGGAAGGTGAAGCTGACTCTCCTGTGGGCCAAGGGACATCTGTGCAGCCAGGGCCAGTCTGTGCTCCCAGGGCCAGTCACAGTGGGCCTCTCTGCCTCCAGCCTTGGGCTCTTGGGAGAAGGGAGGCTGGTTGGGGGCTAGGAGGGGAGGTTTGCTTGGCCTGCCCAGCCCACCTGCCTCCTGGTACCCACCCGGCTCCATCAGGCCGTGCAGACCAGGCTTGGCACGAGGGTCCTGTTCTACCTTGTTGGTGACCGTGTAGGAACATCAACGATCTGGCCAGGAGGGAGAGATAAACAGCTCTGAAGCCCTGTGCAGAGAGCCCCAGGCTTCCATGCAGCTGCAGGCCCCTGGCGGGGTCCCTGGCTAGAATGTTTATTTTTGGGGAGCTGGGGATGGAACCCAGGGTCTCATGCCTGCTGGGCAAGTGCCCTGCCACTGAGCTAGCTACTCCCAGCTCTCTGGCCACGGTTTTCTGCTCACTGTGTCTTTTTCTGTTTCTCTGTCCCCACCCCTCACATCTCTGTCAGCAGTCTGGGGTCCTGGCCTGCAGGGACATGCAACTGTAGGGACCTTTTCTAGCTCCTGGGCTCCATGTTTGTGCATCCAGAAGCCCTGCTCTTTCCCCAGCTCCCCGGGAGCTCAGCGAACCAGAGGACTGGAGCGTCTTGGAAGGAGCTGCCCGATGAGGAGGGATAACTCGGACAGGGGCCCGCAGCTGCCTGGGGGAGGCGGGTGGGGGAGCACCGAGCCGTCCCAGGAGGAGGCTCGCTGACGTGAGCGTGGGGGCTGTGGCCGGCCGAGCCTTGGCGGGCCAGGGTGAGGTGCCAGAACACAGTGACTTTCTGCTGTGGCTGGGAGCTCAGAACCCCGAGCTGTGAAATATTGTGGTAACCATGGCAACAGTGACTGCAGGCAGTTGCCTGTGTGGGACGCGTTGGACCCCGTCTTTCTGCACCTTCACCCTCAGAGGCTGGTGAGCCTCGAGAAGTCGGCAGGTTGTGTGGGGCAGGGTGGAGCCGCTGGCCAGGCGCCCGCTGGGCCTCGGCTTCCCCATGTTGAAGGATGTATTCGCTGAACAGACGTCCCCATGCGGAGTCACTGGGTCCTGCGTGAAGTGTGACCCCTGCACCATCAGTGGGGGGCTTGGCGAAGGGTGTAGGTGGGTGGCAGGGGCCGGGAAAGAGGCTTCCAGCGTGGCTGCAGTGTGTGTGTGTGTGTGTGTGTGTGTGTGTGTGTGTGTGTGTGCACTTGCACACTCAGACACGGTGAGGCCGAGAGGTGGGCATCACCTGCGGCTCCTGTCCTCCATCTGTGGCTCCTGCCTCCCCGCTCTCTGTCCCCCTCTCCACGGGTCTCTGTCCTTCTCTGTGGATGTCTCTCTGGGCCCCTGTTCCTCTCTTGAGGTGTCCTTCCCTCTGGCTGTCCGTCTCTCCTTCTCTCCTTTTCTCTCTCTGAGGCTCGGGCTTCTCTGTTCCTTCCTGGGTCTTGCACTAGGCTCTCCGAGGATGCTCTTGGAGGTGCTCCAGTCGCCTGCCTGGGGATGGCTGGGCAGTGGCTGGGGTGGGCAGAGTCCCCTCAGCCACACCGACATCCCCCTGCCCCGCTGCCCCCTGAAGCGCAGCGTCCCCCCATGCACCATGGACCCCAGGGTGGGGCATCGTGCTGGGCTGGGGCGCGAGCCAACCAGCTGAGCCGCGCCGCTGTGCTCCGCGGAGCCACATGGACAATAAAACCAGAATTGGCTTTGGAAGTGGAAGTGCTCTCTCGGCTCAAGGGGAAGCGAGGGGCTCCACACGTCAGTGGCCTGCGGAGGGCAAAGCTGGCCTGAGCCTCCTGCTCTGTGTGGGGGTGGGAAAGGATTTTACAAAACCCCAAAGAAATGTTTCCACGAAATGCTTTCTTGTTCTTGCCTTTTTTTTTTTTTTTTGGACATTCCAATGAAAAGAATGGTTGGAGCTTCGATCTCCTGTGGGGTTGGGAAGCTGGTCACAGGGACCAGGCCAGCAACAGGGTGGGGACTGGAGGGGGCCACCCACCTGGCAGGTGCTCGGCCCCTCTCCTGAGGCTCGCACAAGCAGCCCCCGCCTCCACCAGCTCCCGATCTCCCTACCAGGCTCCAGTGTCCAGGGCGCCCAGCCTTAGCTGGTATGGCCCTGAGCTTTCATGACTTCCGGCCAGGCTGTCCGGCCTCCTTGGTGCCCCAAGAGCAGACCCCAAGGTGAGGATTCAAGGGCTCCATGAAGGAAGGACTCCAGAGGGAAGAAACCTAGGCAGGAGATGTTGACACTCTAGGAAGTTTCTGGAACCTGAGACAGGTGGTCCACCCGGGGCATTGACCCTGCCCAGCACACAGCAGGCCTCTGTGCCAGGGAGATTCTGAGGCTGCATGGTGGTGCCTCCAGGGCAGGCCTGGTGCTCCTGTGTCCATCACAGGCCTGAGCCTGCATGGGGGTGCCCAGGGACAGTGCTAGGGGACATAGTGGTAGGGATTTGTCAGAATGGCCTTGGTCCGGGCCAGGCCTGAGGCGGGGGTGTGTGGCCACTCAGGAGCCAGATCCAGGATGAGGGTGCAACTGGGGCGGGTGGTGAGTAGCCTCCAGAGACGTCCTGACCGGGGCTGCTGACGCATTGCCTCCGATGACTCACGTGTGGGTGACCGTGACTTGAGTGGCCGTCTGGAGACTAGGCCCAGTTCAGGGCTGCCGCCGCCTTCCTGGGGGCCTGTGGCCCCGACATGCTGGCCGCCCCCTGTCTGGGGCTGGCCTGAGTAATGGGTCCTTCCCCTCTTCCTGGTGCCGGCTGGAGAGGACCTTAGTCATCAGCCCTGGGCACCAGCCCTCCCTCCGCCTCCTGCCCACCTCTGCCGGGACCTTGCCTTGCCCCTCTGTCTTGGCACGGGGGCTCCAGCCTCCCTGAGCCCACCAGAGGCAGCACAGCCTGGTGTATGGAGGGAGAATGGGGACTTCAGGGACATTTGTCTTATCTGTAGGACAGGAAGAAGAAAGAAAACATCCATGTGAGACACCCGCTGCCAGGGACATGGAGAAGGACAGGAGGGGACGAAGCTGCTTGCTCCCTTCTTTGGTGCACCTTGTACCCCACACCTGGTAGCAGCAATGAGATGAGCTGGCCCCATCTTCTGGACCAGGATTGTCATCAGAGCTGATGCGGCTCAGGCTGCTGGCTGCAGAGACCCTGGCCTGGCCCCTGATGCCCCCTCTGGAAGGTCCTGCTGGCCACCTGTGCTGTCCCTGCCTTCTGGGTCCCAAGCAGCCCTTCCACTTATTGGGGAACCCAGATATCCTTTGCCCAGGGGAGCTCCTGGCCAGCTCTCTGGTTCCCCATTTTTCAATAAAGCTAACAGCAGGGGAGGCATCTGCCGGGCAGCGTCTCGGTCCTATAGTGTGTTCCCACACAAACAGCTTTGAGCACAAGCTCAGCCGCTGTGTCGTCTGCACCTCCCTCCTCTCGAGGCTGCAGGTGGCGCCTGTCCCTGGTTACACATCAGGAGCAGCCTCCTTGCCCACCCGGGGGCCGCCCTTCGCCAGAAGTACTGCTGCGAGCATTTAGCTTGTTTCTCGTCTCCTGCCCCTAGATGTGATGCAGTCTGTCCTGCCCTCCATGTCGCCAGGTTCTGCATCCTCAGATTCAAACAGCTGCAGATCGACGACCATTAAAAAAACAAAAATGTGCAGGTATTTTTTCTGTCGTTATTTCCTACAAAATACCTGGTAACAACCGTTGACGTAGCGCTTCCACTGCATTAGCTGTGCTCCAGAGAGGACTTAGGGCCTACAGGAGGATGAGTGTAAGTTCTAGGCAAATACGACGTTATTGTGTGAAAGGGACTTGAGCATACTAGGATTTTGGCATCCGTGAGAGTCCTGGAACCAATTTCTCACAGGAATCCAGGGATAAGTCTCGGAAGTTGAGTTGCTGGGTCAAGGACACAAGTCTAGAGTGTTGCTATGCCTGCCAAATCGCCTTCCTGGGTTTTTTTTTTTTTAGTTGTCAATGGATTATTTATTTATTTTTATGTGGTGCTGAGGATCGAACCCAGAGCCTCATACATGCGGGGCAAGTGCTCTACCCCTGAGCCAGGACTCCTGCCCTCCCTGGGTGTGAACTGCCTCCTGTTCTACCAGAGTAGATTGAGCATTTGCTGCCAAATAACCCAGTGTCTCTGAGGCCTGGTGAGGTGTGAGCAAGGCTTGCTCTTAGATCTTTTTTTTTTTTTTTAATATTTATTTCTTTTAGTCGTACACAATGCCTTTATTTTTATTTATTTAATTTTATGTGGTGCTGAGAATCGAACCCAGGGCCTTGCACATACCAGGCGAGTGCTCTACTGCTGAGCCACAACACCAGCCCCACTCTTAGATCTTTTCTTTTCTTTTTTTTTTATTTGCACTAGCATTGAATCCATATCACTGAGCCACATCCTCAGTCTTTTTTTTTTTTTTTTTTCTGAAACAGAGTCCTGCTAAGTCCTTAGGGCCTTGCTAAATTTCTGAGGCTGGCCTCAAACTTGCAATCCTCTTGCCTTAATCTGAATCGCTGGGATTACAGGCATGTGCCATCATGCCTGGCTCTCCTAGGTCTCTTCTAATCAGCTCTTATTCCTTTTCTACAAGCTTTCAGCTCATATTTTTGTGCATCTTTCATTGAGATTTCTGGCTTTGGGTTGATTTCTTGGTGTTCTTTATATATGGAGGAGTGTAGTAACTATGTGCCCCTAAGGATTGAGTGGCCCCATGATGAAAGTGCCCCTGGAATGAGATCTTTCTTCTGATGAAAATGTACATGTGCACACCTGTCCCAAGGGGCAGGTGAAATCCTCCCACACCACCCCAATATCTTGAACTTGTAAGGAAAAACCTGCCGACTGAAAGCAAAATGGCAAAGGCTGCAGGGCCTGTGCACAGCACCTCTGAGCCTCCCCCACTCTCCAGCTCAAAGGGAAGCTGGGGAAGTTGGTGTCTGTGGGAAGGGGCCAGGGGGCTGCCCAGCAACCCTGGGACATCTGCACAACTGAGAAAACAGACCCAGAGAATCAGGGAGTATGCCTGAGCACACCGCCACCGCTCGCCAGAATCCTGCTCACGCCCCTCACCCCCTCTGGGTGCCCTCCGTTCCCCAGCCGCCGTGCCCCCATGGGTCTTTCTTCCATGTATCTCTCAGAGGCTGGCCCCGCACTGGTCTGGGCTGCAGGAAGGACGGCTGCTCATGGCCTTTACCCAGGGGGGCATCCCGGCCTCCTGGTGTCACGCACACATTCAGTGGGCTTGTGGGAAGCGCACTTGGAATCCAGGTCTCCCACCTGGTCACCTCACTGGGTCTTTGCCTGGCTTTTCCTCCTCTGTCTCAGGCCATCTCCTAATCAGCTCCCCCCACAGCAGCTCTTGAGCACTTGGTTGTTTACCTCATGTCTGTCCCTTTCCTACCGGAGCCTGTAGCGCCATTGGTGGCCCGGTCCCATTACGGGGTGCTGGCTGAAGGAATGGCAGTGAACGCATGGCTGAGGTGAGGACCTGGGGTGGAGAGCCCTGAGGTGTGGCCCCCTGGTTTATTGGCCCAGTGTCCTCTGACCCTGGCCTGGGTGTCCTAGGAAGGCGCTGAGACATAGATCTGCCCTCAGGAGGCCCAGAGTACAGTGGGAGAGGTGGCCAGGCCTCCAGAGCCCTGGGACGCCAAGGCTACGAGCAGCCAGGATAGGCTCCCTGGAGCAGGGTCACAGGCAGGTGCATCTTAGCCCCCAGGTACTCCACACAGGGTCAGCCTTCAGGTTTGGTGACTTTCTAGTGGCTGCTGATAATGAAGGCGGTGTGCCTGTACCCCCAGCCCACTCTACACAGCAGGGTCTGTGCAGCAGGGATGTCACCATTGCCGGGCTCCCCAGATGCATTAATCCTCTCTTTGTTTTAAGCCAGTTCTGGCGATTCATTCACAAGGTCAAGTTTGACCACACATTCTCCCCGGTTCTGGGAGGGAGGCTCTGAATGGTCACACCAGCTGTTCATGGTGCTGTGGTGGCATTTGAACCTGGCCATTCATCCGGAGCTCCCACCCTGACCCCTGGCCTCTGTGCTGCACAGAGAAGGTGCAGTGCTGGTTGCTGGGCAGAGTCCAGGCAGGGGGTCCCTGGGGTGGGCTGTGGTGGCCAGAGCCGTGGGCAGGGCAGGTGCAGGGCGGGCAGGTGCAGCGGCTGACCTAGGGATGTGCACACTTTGGCCCAGGAGAGGCTTTGGGCAGACGGATTTGGAGCTGCAGTCCAGCCCAGGAGGAGGCTGGGCCTTCCACCTTAAGCGCCATCACCTAGCTGTTGTGAGGAGAGATGCTGAGACACCCCTTCCATCCTCCACATCTCTGCTCCTGGCTCCGTTCCCTCAGACACTCCGGGCCTGATGGCACAACCCTGGCTGCAGCTGTGACATAAAGCTGACTCTGGATGCTTTGACTGCTTCCGGTCCCCCTGCTCCAGGCCTTGGGAAGCTTCAAGGACTGACACAGGCTCACAGCAGCAGTCACGTCCACCAGGCAGGGGAGCTGGATGCGAGGGAGGAGAGGAAGGGCAGGCTGAGGGGGGGCCCTTCTCCTAGCAGAGGACAGGCCATGGGGACAAGCTGGAGTCCTGGTGTCTACCTGGACCCTTTTTCTCCCTCTCCCCAGCACCCCAGCGTTGCTCACCAGCCCAGCTGACTGCAGCACCAGGATCCGAGTTCTTGTGTATTCCTGCCTCCACCCGGTGCAGGCTGCATCCCCAGCACCATGTCCCCTGGCCTGGGTCCCCTGTCTCCTGGGACCCTGAGCACCTGCAGGCAAGGCTGGAACACTGGCTTCTTGCTCTGTCCCGCAGCCCCTCCCCAGCCACGGTCAGCCCTGGGCCCTGCAGCCCCTCTGTCCACCTTTTCCTGAGGGTCTCTGAAGGGCAGCTGAGGCGGGCAGCCCATGAGAGGTCAGGGAGCTCTGAGCCAGTGACCACTGTGAGGGAGCGCCAGCTTGCCTGCCTCTGTGGCCACGTCCTGGACCCTCGGGCTTGTTTGGGGCCGGTGGACAGAGGGCTGGGGAGCCTTCCCGCTCCTCCCGCTTTCCCGGAAGGACCAGTGCCCGCGTTCCTGGCTCTCTCTGGGCAGGCGCAGTCCAGGGAGAGGGCAGGCAAGTCCCAGAGGGCCTGGAGCCGGGGAGAGCCGAGTGCAGGGAGGGGGAGTGGGGCGTGGCTGGGGTCCAGGGGGTCCTGGGAGTGGTTCTTTTGTGTGTGTGTGTGTGTGTGTGCGCGCGCGCGCTGGGGATCGAGCTCTGGGGCACTTTACCACTGAGTAACACCCCAGGCGAATTTATTTTTTTATTTTGAGACGGGGTCTCACAAAGTGAGGCTAATCTTGAACTTGGGATCCTCCTGCCTCAGTCTTCCAAGTGTCTGGGATTACAGGCGTGTGCCAGGCCCCGTGCCCCACCTGGGAGGTGTTCTTGACTGCAGTGGCCCCCTCCTGTGGTGTTCTGAGGATGAAGTGCTGTGTTCAGAAACTCTTCATTCATGACCCGCTGAGTAAAAGCTTCCCAAGATGCAGGCTGGTGGGGGAGCTCAGTGGTCGAGAGCTGGCCTGGCCCTGGCGTGTGCGAGGCTCTGGGCTCCATCCCTGGCCCTGGGAGATAATTCCCCAAATGGAACAGCAAAGGGGTCAGCGGGAGGCTAGAGAGGAGAGGGTGGGGACGGGTGAGGTGATGGCCGGACTGCGGCTGGCCTGGTGTGCTCTGAGGGCTGGGGCTGGGGCAGGGTTTTCACAGGACCCGAGAAGATCCCATGCCCTTTTCTCTTTTATTGAGGTGCAATTCACATAACACAAAAATGATGATTTTTTCCCCCATGAAATCCACGAAAAAAATGCCTGGGATGGAACCCAGGGCTCCACACGTGCTGGGCGAGCGCTCCGCCACTGAGCCCCACCCAGCCCCAGACTGGGGTAGCGTGGACACCTCCCTGGCATTGGGCCTCCACTGCATGGCCTCTGTCTCATTCCAGAATATCTCATCACCAGGTGGAGGCGCCTCGAAGTACTGAGCATTGGTGTCTCCTTCCCGCCCCGTGCTGGGCGCTTCCTGGGGGAATCATGGCTTCACACTCTGTGGCCTCTGTGTCTGGCGCCTTTGACTTGGCATCATGTTTTTGAGGTCCTTTTGTGTGTACCAGGACTTCAAGGCCCGTGAGCCACGTCACCCGCTCTCTGTTCTCCCTCCAGCATGGCTGATAAGAACGGGGCCCTCAAGTGCACCTTCTCGGCGCCCGGCCACAGCACCAGCCTCCTGCAGGGCCTGGCCACCCTCCGTGCCCAGGGCCAGCTCCTGGACGTGGTGTTGACCATCAACAGAGAGGTCTTTCATGCGCACAAGGTGGTCCTGGCTGCCTGCAGCGATTACTTCAGGTGAGTGCGGGCCCTGGGAACTTGGAGGGGGGACAGGGTGACAGCAGCCACCTTCTAAGAAAGGGCCCATCTCAGCACCAGTCAGAAATGGCTGTGAGGGAGAATGGCTGATGTCGGCTTGGAGAGAAGCCCCCTGCCTACCAACCCTGCCTGCTTCTCCTTGACTCATTCTTCTGGGGCTCAGCATGCTTGGGAGTCTGGGGCACCTGCTTCACGGCCTCCGCCCTGGGAGGGTCCCAGCTCAGCCAGGCTTGCTTTCTTGTTTCCATCCTGGGACTGAACCCAGAGGTGCTTAACCACCGAGCTGCGTCCCCAGTCCTATTTTTAAAATATTTTATTTAGAGATGGGTCTCTCTGACTTGCTTAGGGCCTCACTGAGTTGCCTAGGCTGGCTTAGAACTCACCCTCCTCCTGCCTCAGCCTCCCAAGCTGCTAGGACTACAAGCGTGCGCCACTGCGCCCTGCTAGGCCAGGCTTTCAGTCCAAGTCTTCATTGGACAATTGCCCTATGCCAGGTGCTGATCTAGGCCTGGCGGATCTAGCAGGTACAAAACGGGCTCAGGTCCCTGCCTCCATGCCACCCCCACTCACACCTAAAGCAGAAGAGCTGGGGGACTGGAGGGGCCCCAGCAGCCCTCATGTCTTGCTGACCCCATGTGTTGGGGTCTGGATGAGGTTCTTCTGTGCCCTGCGTGGTGGGTGCTTCCTCTGTGTAGTAGCCAAAACCTTGGTGGGCATGTGGCTCTGTCCTTCCCAGTGCCGTGGCTGGGCCAGAAGAGACGGCCCCTTGGAGCTACATGGGCAGGGAGGTTCCTCTTCCCTACTGGGCGCTGTCATGGGGCTAGAGATGGTCTCCCCGTTCCCTTGGGGACAAGCTGGTGAGCCTCCTAGCTGCCAGACTGAGCTGGGCGGCCCTGGGAGCCGCTCCTGGGCTCACTTCAGCCCAGGTGTGTCTGGAGCCACACATCCCCACGCCCCGCCGCCTGCCCGGTGGCTCAGCAAGGCCATTGTGGGGAGCCACAGCCGCCAAGCCAACTGGGGCGCCGTTTCTATTTTTACTCTGGATTTGGGGACGGGTGGGCCAGCCCAGCCAGCAATGCCCTTTAAAGGCTCCCCCGCGCTGGCACTGCAGCCGCAAGACCTTAAAAGGCAAAACTCCTTCCCGTCGCCTGCGACAGCCTCAGTCTTCCTCACGATGCCCCAGGGCTGGCGGGGACTCCAGGGGACAGGCCTGGGAGCTGGCGCTCACTGCTCCTAAGAAGCCTTGGGTGCTCGGCAGCTTGCTGGGCAGTGGTTAGCTGGTGGCACCTCACAGCTGTCCTCTTGCTGTGGTCCCAAGCCTGGCCACACAGGTGCCCCTAGGGCACAAACATCTAAGGGGCAGAGACGAGCAGAGTTCCCCTCCCCTCGGGGCCCATCGGGGACGGTGCCCTGGTGTGGAATGCCAGCCTGCCCCGAGGGACCTGCCCACGTACTGAGCAAGCCCTGGGTGGGCACTGGGGCGGGGGAGGCTTTGAGCCCCAGGCTTCCCCAGTGTCCTCCTGCCCGGGCCTGTGTCCCTTTCCCAGCTCTCAGCTTGGCTCCCGCCTCTCAGAGCAGAGCAGCGGGGTCACAGAGCTGGGGTCCCTAGCTTGGAGTCTCACATTGGGCTGGGGACTCTGGACTATGCTTAGAGCAGGGAGGTGCTTCCGTGCTCCTGGGCTCTCTCTGGAGACAGCAGTGGCCCCCTGCATGGCCTCCAGTAGTTGTCCCATTCCAGGGGACCCTTGTTGGTGGTTGCCCGGGCCCGGGCTGGGGAGCTGGAGCTGCTCGTAAAGGCAGTGAGCAGCCAGGGACTGGGCTTTGCAGACCAGACCGTGGCAGGACACCTGTGCCTCGCTTGTGTCCTGAGCTTAGGTGGCTTTTCCCTGGGAGCCTCTGAGTCAGCTGGGCTCCAGCAAGTCGCTTGTTGGGTGAGGCTGACCTGGGCTGCTGCTCCTGCAGCTCTGAGCCAGGGCCAGGATCTAAACTAAGGGCTCAGGCAGTGCCCCCTGCAGGGGCCGCTGGGAGTCACTGTTTCTGGAAGGAGGCACCACTGGGGTGGACTCAAACTCTTTTTTTTTTTTTTTGGAACCAGGGATTGAGCTCAGGGGCACTGGACCACTGAGCCACACCCCTAGCCCTGTTTTGTATTTTACTTAGAGATGGGGTCTCACTGAGTTGCTTAGGGCCTCACATTTGCTGAGGCTGGCTTTGAACTTGCCATCCTCCTGCCTCAGCCTCCCAAGCTGCTGGGATTACAGGCGTTCGCCACGGTGCCCGGCAAAACCCTTTCTTTCCTTGCTTGTTCTTCCTGAGAGTCCAGCTCCACTGTCTTCCTGCTGGCTGCGCCCTGCGTTCCTGTCCCTCTGCCAGATTGTTGCTGGTGGAGAGGGCTTCCCTTGGCCACCCCCAGCCCATACTGTGTTTCCATCCCTCAGGGCTATGTTCACGGGAGGCATGAGGGAGGCCAGCCAGGATGTCATTGAGCTGAAAGGCGTGTCTGCCCGCGGCCTGCGGCACATCATCGACTTCGCCTACAGCGCTGAGGTGACCCTGGACCTGGACTGCGTACAGGACGTGCTGGGCGCCGCGGTGTTCCTGCAGATGCTGCCGGTGGTGGAGCTGTGCGAGGAGTTCCTCAAGGCCGCCATGAGCGTGGAGACCTGCCTCAACATCGGCCAGATGGCCACCACCTTCAGCCTGGCCTCACTCAGGGAGTCCGTGGACGCCTTCACCTTCCGCCACTTCCTGCAGATCGCCGAGGAGGAAGACTTCCTGCGCCTGCCCCTGGAGCGCCTGGTCTTCTTCCTGCAGAGCAACCGGCTGCAGAGCTGCTCCGAGATCGACCTGTTCCGAGCCGCCGTCCGCTGGCTGCAGCATGACCCGGCCCGGCGGCCGCGCGCCAGCCACGTGCTGTGCCACATCCGCTTCCCGCTCATGCAGTCGTCGGAGCTGGTGGACAGCGTGCAGACGCTGGACATCATGGTGGAGGACGTGCTCTGCCGCCAGTACCTGCTGGAGGCCTTCAACTACCAGGTGCTGCCCTTCCGGCAGCACGAGATGCAGTCTCCACGCACCGCCGTGCGCTCCGACGTCCCCTCCCTGGTCACCTTCGGTGGCACCCCCTACACTGACAGTGACCGGTCCGTCAGCAGCAAGGTGTACCAGCTGCCCGAGCCAGGCGCCCGCCACTTCCGCGAGCTCACGGAGATGGAGGTGGGCTGCAGCCACACGTGCGTGGCCGTGCTGGACAACTTCGTGTACGTGGCCGGGGGCCAGCACCTGCAATACCGCAGCGGCGAGGGCGCCGTGGACGCCTGCTACCGCTACGACCCGCACCTGAACCGCTGGCTGCGCCTGCAGGCCATGCAGGAGAGCCGCATCCAGTTCCAGCTCAACGTGCTGTGCGGCATGGTGTACGCCACGGGCGGCCGCAACCGCGCCGGCAGCCTGGCCTCGGTGGAGAGGTACTGCCCCCGGCGCAACGAGTGGGGCTACGCCTGCTCGCTCAAGCGCCGCACCTGGGGCCACGCCGGGGCCTCTTCTGGGGGCCGCCTCTACATCTCGGGGGGCTACGGCATCTCGGTGGAGGACAAGAAGGCGCTGCACTGCTACGATCCCGTGGCCGACCAGTGGGAGTTCAAAGCACCCATGAGTGAGCCCCGGGTGCTCCACGCCATGGTGGGCGCTGGTGGCCGCATCTATGCCCTTGGTGGCCGCATGGACCACGTGGATCGCTGCTTCGATGTGCTGGCTGTGGAGTACTACGTGCCCGAGACGGACCAGTGGACCAGCGTGACCCCCATGCGGGCTGGCCAGTCGGAGGCCGGCTGCTGCCTGCTGGAGAGGAAGATCTATATCGTGGGGGGCTACAACTGGCGCCTCAACAACGTGACGGGCATCGTGCAGGTGTACAACACGGAGACGGACCAGTGGGAGCGGGACCTGCACTTCCCAGAGTCCTTTGCGGGCATCGCCTGCGCCCCTGTCCTGCTGCCGCGTGCCGGGGGCAGGAGGTAGTTCCTTGGACTCCTGGGATCCTGGCCCAGCTGCATGTGGTCTCCCAGCCCGCCTGGCAGGCACAGCTGGGCAGGGAACCTCAGGCACCCCCCAGCGCTGGCCTCCAGGGGCCTGCTGAGCTGAGGGGCTGGGCACCCTCCTGAGGCAGATCCTGGCTCTGAGTCCAGCCCAGGGGCCCAGCCCCAAAGGCCACCACATCATGGCAACAAGCTCATGCCCCAGGTGGTTCCCTCACCCAGCCTGCAAGTCCTGCTATGGGGGGCAGCCGGGCTCCTCCTGGTGTCATTGTGTGGCTCTGCTTCCCTTCCCTCCCGTCCCCATCCAGCTTTGCCTGCCTGTGGTTCAGATGCTCAGACGTGAGCCCATGAACACCGAATGCCAGGCCCCCGGGATGCACCTCCCCGCCCTCCTGAGTCGCCCAAAGCCTCCCTAACATGGGTGCTCTCAGGGCAGGAGAGGCGGCTCCAGAGCCCCTGGGTTGGGCTGACGGATGGGGAGGGCCTCTCTGCTTCCCCAGATGTGCTTGCCCAACCCTTTCAGCCTGAGCTGTCGCCAGGCCTCTGCCTGCATCCCCCTGCCTGTCCTGGGCCCCTGCACCTTAAGGGCCCCTGCTCCTCTGCTTGCAGGAGAAACCACAGCTGACTCCCGGAGGCAGCCCTGAGGGCACTGGGCCCTCCATTTGGCGCTGAGCATCACCCAGGGCCTGAACGAGGGTGGCCGGCCAAGATGCCCCATCTGCTGCCTTGGCTCTGGGTGGCCAGGCTGTCCCCTCCCATGGTGGAGAGGACACCAGCCCAGGCTCCAGAGTGCTTCTGCATCCCGCAGGGCTGTGGACAATTTTGATTCCCCTCCCTCAGCCCAGCCCAGCCCTGGTTTTAGGTCAACGCACCACCAAGCCTGAGGCCACCCTTGGGCGGGCGCTGGGGCTGCTCCTTCAAGGGCTTTGCGGTATCTCTGGCCACAAGAGGTTAGGTGTCTAACCCTCTAAACGTCTTCTTTTTGTTTTGTTTTACTGTTCTTCTTTTTTTTTTTTAGAAGCCAGCACTGCTGTCTTCTAAGTGAGGTTCATACTCTAGGGACAACTTAAAGTGTCTCTTCTGCTGCTAACAGAGGATGGATGTCGAGTTTTGTGACCCGCTCACGGTGTAAAGGATTAACCTCATACCTCAGCCGCCGTCCTTCCCTAATGTCTCCCTTTATTTAATAAAAACGTTATGGTGAAAAGATGGAGTGCCCGCGCTGAGCCTGTGCAGCTTGGGCCTGATTGGTCACAGATTCTGCTGCGTGTGTCCTCCGTGAGTTTGGGGCTCCTCTCCCCTGCCCCAGCCTTTTCCCTCATTGCCAGGAGCTAGGGGCGGGGGGCTGGGTCTTGGTTCAGGGGGACAGGGACAGTGGGAAGTTCTGTTAGGACATCCACCTGGGCCCAGGGTGGGGCAGCCTTGGAGGGAGGCTCCAAGGAGAGTCTTTCCAGTTTCCTGGCCCCTGCCACCAGGCAGCAGCCCCCTCCCTGCAGGTCCCATCTTCCCATCTGCGTAGTCTCAGGGACCAAGGCAGATCAGGCAGCCTGGGAGCCCCTCTCCCCAGGGGACGTGCTGGGGGAGACACAGGCAGGTCCTACAGGAAGCGTGACGTCATCGTTCCTCCATATGGGCCTGAGAGCGCCTCCAAGAGCCCCACACCCCAGGCCCTGCCAGGCACCCGGCTACTCAGAGCAGGCCACTGGGGGCTGCCGGCTGGTGGCAAATGCCTGACATCCTGGACAGACTTCCAAGAAGGGATGGCACTGGGATCATTCTGCAAGCGCAGGTCTGTGTGAGTGGCCTCCCCCGATGTCCCAGCACCCCTGTGCAGCTGCCCTGGGCCCCAGGGTGAGGCTGGAGGCGGAGCAGTGCTGAGACGGGAACTTGGTTGGGAACCTGGAAGGAGCCCACGCTGCCAGGGGCATCAAACCAAAGCCGCTGTCCCAGGGGACTCCTCAGAACATTCCCGCCCCACCCCCCACCCAGCTCCCCAAAGAGAGCGCCTCGCCGTTGGAGGCACAGCCCCTTCAGGGGGTAGGGAGAAGCCTTTGCCAGCTGCAAGTCCCCCAGATCAGCTCACACCTCAGAACATCTTGTCCCCAATGAGCTGGCAGGGGTGCCGGCCGCGGGAGGGGGCGCTGCCGTATCTAACCCGGTCGATTGTGCAGAACCGTCTGAGCTGGTTCATGGAATGTTCTCCGGGGGCCCCCTGCCCCTCCCTCGGCCCCCATCCTACCCCCGGAAGAAAGGAAAATTATTTTTTGTATTGTAAACTTTAAACACGAAAAAGCTGGTTTTAATTTAGCAGAAACTGGCTCGAATCTTCACTTTGTGAACGTTTGTGTCCTTCAGAGAGAGGCGGAGCACGCCTGCGCACACCCGCGCTCGCACACCCTCACCGGCACACCTGCCTGCGTGCACACTCGTGTGGTCCTGCTGTGCACACGGGTGTGCTTGCTCTGGCTCACGCCCTCGGTGACACCTCGCATCCTCGCTCACATGTGCTTAGACGCGAGCTCACAGGCCCTCGGACCCCCCTCCCCCCGCCTGGTGTCCCAAAGGGACCTGGAGCCCTGCACCTCCCTGGCCCTGGGCTTCCAGACGCGCTGCTTCCTGGCTGCGGCCTGGACGTGGACTCAGCCTCCCTCCACACCTGGTTTAGGCTGTGGGAAAACATTCTCCTGAGACGGCGGAGGCAGGCCCGCCAGAGGGAGGCCAAGTGTGACTTCTGGGACCTCGCAACAAATGAGGGCCAAGGGGGCCTCTGGGGAGCCCTGTGAGGTGGGAATCCATCCTGGACCTGGCCAGCTTGGAAACCCGCCCCTGGCTCTGTCTCCAAGAAACAGACTCCAGCTCCTTGTTTCTCACGGGCCCTGGAGATTGGCTCTGCACAGTGGAGCCTCCGGACCCTGCCTCGCAGCAGCTCTGCACCCAGCGAGGCTCAGGCACAGAGAGGGCGTGGCCCAGGGAGCAGAGCACAGGGGAGAGGCCCTGGGGTGAGAAGGCCGGAGCAAAAGCCTCCATCACCCCAGCATTTGTGGGCACCACTTGTGTTTGGGCCTCCCGGGTCAAGAAGAACTGGCGGGGGGCTGTTTAAGGCCCCCAGCTTAGTTCTTGTCTGCCTGTCATTCTCATGGCCTATCCTGCTGGTGGCCAACCCAGCAGCCGTAACTCACCAACAAAACCCTGATATGGTGCCAGTAGCAACGTGCCCAGCCTCAGGGGTTGATTTAAGATTCAGCTGAGCCATTCTTGGCAATGCTTTTTACCGGGGTTGTTTTCAATCCGGGCATGTTTCCCAGCTCTGGCCAGAAAGTTTTAAGGGGTTGGATGTTTCTGGACAAGGGAGAGACCTTGTTGCCCCCTCCCTTTCCTTACTGCTTCATATGTGGATGCAATGCCAGGAACTTCTGCAGCCATCTTGTGGCCATGAGGAGCAAGTTAAGAGATGCTTTTTGGGGCTGGGGTTGTGGCTCAGTGGTAGAGTGTGCTTGCCTCACATGTGTGAGGCACTGGGTTCAATTCCCAAGACCACATATAAATAAGTGACTAAAATAAAGGTCCATTAACAACTAAATATATACATATACATATATATATATACATATATATATATATATA